TGGTGCAGGATAGAGCAGGGTTTAGGGCTGTTGTGCACAGGGTCGCTATGAGTCGCAAACAACTCGAGGGCACATAACAACAACAACAGTATTAATTACACCAACTTGTAAATTCCAGCTGGGATATGCCTATTTGGAGGAAAGGTATTTTGACTAACGATGAGGGAAGTGGATAATCTGGAGGAGGACTGGCCTGCATCTGTGGGCCAGGGCTGGAGCTACTTCCTCCTCAGCTGCTATAGGATCCAAAAGTCTGGCTAACAATGCCCAACACTAAAGTAAACAGACTTCCAACCTGAAACTTCCTAGCAAGGAACCTCCTATTTTATCCACATTGCTAGGCTAAAACACTAATTGCATTCCAAACCACCCGACATCCAATCAAAACTCACTACTTTCCAAGTACTGTTAACTGGAGATGGGTGGAGGGGGGCACATTAGCTACAGAGAGACAAGTAAGTTGTGGCAGAGAAAATGAGACAGCTTGCAGCCCAATTGAGGTCGAGCACATCGCTTGGGGAGGGGCACGTGGGTTGGGGAGGGGCACGTGGGTTGGGGAGGGGCACGTCGGCTGGGGAGGGGCACGTGGGTTGGGGAGGGGCACGTCGGCTGGGGAGGGGCACGCGGGTTGGGGAGGGGCACGTGGGTTGGGGAGGGGCACGTCAGCTGGGGAGGGGCACGTTAGAACAGGACACGTCAGTTGGGGCAGCACGTGTGTTGGGCAGGTACGTTAGAGCAGGCCATGTCAATTGGGGCTGGCACGTCGGTTTGGGCAGACCCATCAGCTGGGGGCGGGGAGATGCCGACTAGGTGGGGCTTGCCCAATTTATAACTGACCCTCCTGCTGATTTTCAGAGCTGTGGGAGCTTGCCCACCTTTCTCTGGCAGCAGAGCTGGCGGATTCTAACCACCTTCCTTTGGGTTGGCAGCTGAACACTTTACCACTAGAGCTTCTTAATGAGGAAGAAAACAAACGTCTCAGAGGCCACATGGTATCGGGGATGGTTGCTGTGATGGATGCATGCTGTGACTGATGGATGCTGTGATGGATGGATGCTCTCCTGAATCCATCCCAAAGAGCCACAAGGGATGCTACTTTCTTCCCGATTCTCTCTTTGATAAGTGCAAAAGGATCTTGTTCTAGACCACAGATTTCACTGATGTTAGAACCCTGCTGTACAGGGGGCCCAGCTCTTCGGGACACAGTTTGGCTCCTGACGGCCCTCCTGCACCTGTGCAACAGGCAACATTCTGATAGGCTCCTGGGCACGCTTCTCTACAGGTCACAGTGCTGAAGAGAAACTAGCTTCGTCACTTGATGTCACCTTTTGTTTTGTGTTTGGTCTTGATCACGGTTCCCTTTTAGAGATGATGATGTTAAGGTCAATAGCAATACAATAGATTTTCAGACGGCAATTGTGGATGAGTTTTGTGGAAGGATCATTTGTCAGTTTTGAGAACAGGGGCTCCTGTGTGGATGGGGGTGTGTGTATGTCACATTTTTGTTGGAGAATATGCCAGTGACTTGGACTTCTTTCCTGAGGCCTGCCCATATGAGCAAGAGTATCTAAGGCTGCAGGCAAAATTAGGGTTTTCTGGGCCCTCAAGAGCCATCCATGGACCGACCCCCATGGGGAATAAATAAAGGCCAAGTTTAGATGTTGACACTCTGGGAGAGAGGGTCCTGGTCTTTCCTCGGATCTCACGAAGGCAATGAACAGGTCACTCAGGAGAGCCAGGTCCACACCTTCCACCTCAATGGGAGCTCCCGCCTCACCCTCAAGAGGCACCACTGGAAGCTGTGGGGACCTCTTAGCCACTGGATGGGGCCTGCCATTAGTACTCACCTCTCCCCAAATGCCAACGGTATCACGGATGTCGTTTTTGCAGTAAGAGAGCTGTCGGATGCAGTTGTTGACAGCAACACTGCTTTTACCAGGAGCGAGGTCCGCTTCTGCCATCTCCACCCATCCCAGAGAGCGCACTGCAAAGCACTGGAAGACAGAGCCAGAGGTCGCAGGTGATTCAGGGGTGCAGGCCAGGCTGCTTGTATCTCAGGGTATCTGCACTGGGCTTTCAGAAACCTGTTCAGTTCATAAATCCCCTTAGGACTAGGAACTTGTTGTGACCACTTTTTGCTATTTAAGAAAAATACAATTACACATATCTTCCTGTCTAGTTGTCCTTACTCCACACCCCCCCACCCCCGCCCCGTTCATATCCTCTTCCTCCCTTAGGAAAGATTACCAGAAGTCAAGGGATAAGGCTAAGGGGTAGGTTATAAAAACGTTAGAGCTCCTGTTTTTTGGGTTTTCTAGTTTGAAATGAAAACCTATGGGATCTGTCTCTTGGTAGAAACGGGCCTAGAACAAGCTCTGAGGTGGGAGAATGAATGAAATACACAATTAGTCACTTGTTTTTAATAACAAGGATGTAAAAGGTGGTCTCTAATACTCAGAAAGGGAGAGACAAAGGAAAAAAAGGAGTAAGAGGAGGCAAGCCCCAAGCCCTCCCCAGATATTCTTAGCACTAAATGCTGAGATGGACTTAGGAGAGACCCAAAGCGCACACAAATCCCAAAATGCCTTTCAGCACTTAAAGCTGTCTTTCTAGAGATTAGGCCCCTTCTTTCCCTTCTCAAGGTTTTGTTATTTGGTTTCCCCCCTGGTGGCATGATCTGTAGGGGTTTCTGTGCTTCTCTGGTGGTTCAAATCCACCAGAGCCTCCAAAGGAAAATCACTGTCTTTCTTTGTGATGTACAGGCTCTGAAAACTGGCTGGGAGAGTCAGCTGTGAGTTAGCTTCAAGAGCAAGGAGAACTGAGCAGAAACAGAAATGGCTTCGTTCCTTCATCTGTTCAGATGTTCAAAGGTAACTTGCTTTGCAGGAAGACAGTTTACTCAAGGAAAGCACTACGTGCATTCCATTTTCCTCACCCCATCACGAAGTCTTTTAAAAAGTGCATGCTGTCCGTTTTTTGTTTTTTTTTGTTTGTTTGTTTGCTTGTTTGTTTTTATCAGCAACAACTTTATGAGGTGATCTTATGCAGGTGAGAATGGAACACTGCCTGGCTTCGGGCCACCCTCCCAATTTCTGTGCTGCTTGTGCCCACTGCACCCACTGCTGAAGCCACTGTGCCATTCTGTGAGAAAGAAGGTTCTCTACATGTTGCCTGTGGTTCCGAAGGTTTTATTGTTCAAAACGGCTTTCCTAGCCATCGTCTTTTGACGTTCTTCGCCACATGAGTCGAAGAAAACTTAAAATAGGGGTGTGTATAAAACATTAGGAAGCTGACCTATTTTTCCCCCCATCCCACCAAGTTAAACTTGACTTAGCAACAATGGTGAGATTCTCACTACCAGCATGGAAGAGAAAGCAGGGAGCTCAGCTCACATCCTTCAGGGCCAAAGATTCCTGCACCAGTTAGACCTGGATCTACATGAAAGCAGCAGCAGCCTCAGCAGAGAAGCAGAGGCTGACACGAGGCAGAGATGACAGGGCACTGCTGCCCCCAGAGTCAGAGACAGAGGCCTTCACCCGAGCTTGCTGGAGGTCTGAGAGATGAGGCCATTAACTGACAAGATCACGGGAGCTTTGTTACATTGGCCTAAGCCATGAGGCTGAAGGTCAGAGGTCTTGCAAGCACACTTGAGAAGCTGTCTGGACTCATGAGTTATATCCTGCTGCCAAGCAGAATTGGATACTGTTCACATCTCTAATATACCCCCATAACCATGAGTACTGTTCTATGAGATCTGTGTGGGCATTGCAATGGGTTTTTGATCCAGCAAAATAGGAATGGTGCTGGAATTTGTAGAAACAGGTGCAGGAGTGTGGGAGACAGACCATGTCTGACTTTATAGGATTGGTTTTGCATTGTGTATGTTGTTGATGGGAACAATTCCCCTCTGTGGAGGTAGCAGTGCTACCTACACGCTTTACAATGCCCCTTTCTCATTAGTGGTCCCTTCTGAAGTGTCCAAGTAAGCAAAGTCTTGTCATCTTGGCTTCTAAAAAGCATCCGGTGATATTAAAATTTAATTTGTTCCCCTGGAACGTTGCTAAGTGCTGCCAGGTTGACAACCTTGCATGATGATCCCATGTACAACAGAAACACTGTCCAACTCTGTACCACCCTCTCGATCTCGACGGTGCTTAAGTTCATCATCCCAGTCCCTGTGCCAAGGTATCTCCTTAGAGGCCTTCCTCTCCTTCACTGGTACTCCACATTTCCAAGCAAGATGTCCTTTTCCAATGATTGGTCCTTTTTAACAGGTCCAAATGATATGAAATAAAATCTCACCATTTCTGCTTCTGATGAACACTCAGGGGAGCTCTGGTGGCCTCGTGGGAAGAAGCTGCACTGCAGTCTCAAAGGTACGCAATTCAAATGCAGCAGCTGCTGAGGGATTTACTGCTTCTGACAACCTGCTGGCAGGCCAGCTAGGAGTTGGTTCCAGCTTGACCAGTATACAACAAGAACATTGTTGAGTGCATGTCTGCTAAGAGAATTATTTACCCTTTTGGTTTAAAAACCCCTGAATCGCTGTCATCTAGTAGGAACCAATCCATAGCTGACCCTTCAGTGGGTTTTCAGAGCCAGTTAACTGCACAGGAAGAGACTGCCCATCTTTCCTCCACAGAAAAGCTGGTGGATTTGAACTGCCAGCCTTTAGGTTGGCAGCACAACTCCTCACCCACTAAGCCACCAGAGCTCCCTGCAGTCTACTGTATATTCTACACTCTTCTCAACACCATAATTCAAAGGCATTGATTCTTTTTTGGTATTTCTTCATTGTCCATAGTCAACACTGTAAGACACCAGTGGTTCCGTGAGATGGTCATATACACTTAGAACTACAAACCAGGAGCACATTTTTTCCCTCACTATATATCATTCTTGTATACGATAAAATCTTGTAATCTATGGATACTCATAAGAATCCATTGTTATGTGTCAATGAATTGGAATCGTAGCTGACCCTCCAGTGCATTTTCACAGGCAACAAATTACACTGCAGTAGATAGTCCGTCTTTCTCCCTTTTGGACCTAAACAATGAGTCTTTGGATTGGCAGTGCCAATTACCTCACCTCCTTACTAAGTCTCCAAGCGCCTCCTCCCCAAATTTTCTATTCATAAACAATGAAGGAAGCAACAACGATACTGACTGCTTTTATTCCTCTGGGTCCTGAAACATATGAACTTCAATCTAAACAAGCTCACTAATACATTTTTTTTTTAAATTTAGAAATGTACATTACGCACCACCGCATATCAAATAAACTCTTAAATCACATAAAACAAAGAACCGTACTATATCAAAACAAATCTAAAAAATTTCCATGGATAATCTTGAAACAAGAAAATAAAAGACTATGACAGGGAGCTCTGGTCTGGAACTTCTGATGGAAAGAGCTTCACCACCCTCCATGTTGATCAAAGGAATAGGAAGTTGGTTCACTGGGAAGCCTGAGCTCCAAGTGAGCACCATCAGTTTTTTCCAACCCAGGGAGCCCCACAGAGCAACCTGTCCTGCTCAGTGCTGCTCTCATGTGGTCAAGAAGGTTTATAACTGCTGCATTTTCCTCCTTCCCCACAAAACTTCAGGAAATGTGAGGTGTTGTGGTGTTAGATTATTCATTGAAAAGGTGAAGGTTCAAATTCACCCAGAGGTTCTTTGGAAGAAGAACTGGTGTGCTACTTTCAAGAACCAGCTTCCAAGAACTCTTGGAAGGGGAGGGTACCACGAGTGAGAACTGACTCAAAGGCAGTTAACCGGTTGGGCTTATTTCTGCTGTCTATCAATGAGATGATCTTTGGGGACCCAAACCAGCACTTCTCTTGTGGTTTAAACCCACCAGCTGCTCTTCAGAAGAAAGATGGGCAATTTCCTCCTAGATGATTTACTCTGAGATCCCACGAAGGGTGAGAAAGAAGGGGGGAGAGAAAGCGGGGGAGAGGGAGAGACATGAATATGAAGAAGGACCATTCTAACACATAGTTCACCATCTAACAACACAATATCCTTCTGGATTTCTTACTGATGGCCAGAATGATGCAATGTTTTGGGGTTTCTGTTGTTTGTTGCTGAGTTGGAACCGATTTGTAGCTGAACCTCTAGCAGGTTTTCAGAGACTACAAATTACACCAGAGGAGACTGCCCATCTTTCTCCTGAGGAGTTGCTGGTGGATTCGATCCGCCAGCCTTTGGGTTGACAGTACAGCTCCTTACCTGAGCTCCCTGACATTGTATTTGAGATCTATACAAACACAGATATCTACGTCCTGTGATATTTCTAGAATGAAATCTTCCAAGAATTCAGCACTGCCCTTCGCTTCATCTCAAGCAGTTACTGTGGTGGGCATTAGAGACCGAGTCCACAGCCTTGATGGGGCCTGAGACGGCTTTGGTTGAGTCTCTTCTAAAGACAAGACAGGCTTTTAAAGCCTCACATCTCACACAGATGTTGCTTCCTTCGGAGAGAAGTCTTTGGTAAAGGGGTGTTTGTGGCCATAACACATACATAGAAACATAAATTGTCTTTGTGCAGTTTTAAAGAAAAGGAGGCTTTGCCTGTTACTGCTTTTGACTGGCAAAGCTGAACTGCATTCTTGGTGTAGTTTCGCAGTGGTTTCTGCCCGAAAGAATTCAGGGGCATGGGCTCCAAGTAGGACCTTGAGTTCTAGCAGTGTGAGTGAAGGACCGAGCCCACTGTCCACTGAACTGGACCAATTGCCACACAGAGTGACAATGACTCCTGTGGCTGAAGAGGACACACACACATAGGCTGCACTGAGCCGAGTGACCTCTGCATTAGGGCCTGCTGTTTCCCTCACATTGTCTGCAGGATGACGCAAACCTGGCCAGGAGAGATGATAGCGTGCCCTTTGGGTCTCGGATCAAGTGTCGTTTACTTAATTCCTCACCTTTCAGTCACTGTCTTTTGCTTTAGCATCTCTATGTTGAAGGGCAAGTTCAAAAGATTCTTCCGA